TGATACAGAAGAGTCGCAAACATCAACGCCTTGTACAGATAGGTTTCCTTATTTTCCATCAGCTAATGACTATTCGATATCAACTTAATCTAGACTACGTAGAATGTGGATAAGGTCAGGGTGAGCGCTGGTATTGTTCCCTAATTTGTATGTCAATCCCTTATACTTAGCCGGACAACCGCACTACGAAACGGGGCTTCCGGGTTGTTGCTTTTGTTTTTGTTTTTTTCCCACTCAGTCACTACTTTTGTGCAATTAATTTGAATTCTGTTTGCTTTCAAAGCCTGTCCGATTCTTTCGATAGGCTTACAATCCTCCATTTGATCAGCTGTTATTCTTCTGTGTGTACATCTATTCACCTGTACAGCTTTGATGTGCACCCTTTTCCTGTAAGCATCGTCTATTGTCTATACTAGTCCCATCCCGTGCGAAATGAAGTTTAATTTCATGACCCCAATGATAACGTGGATTATCGTTTCCTCGTATTCACCATTTTACTTGAAAAATACAAAAAACTATTATTGCTCTTCGAAGTACGTTGGTAGAATACACCTCTTTTTTCTGCCTTGATTTTTTACAGATGGTCACGTTTCTTTGACGCACGATAGAAATACTAGGTTTACCTATCTCTTCCTTGACTTACTCCCTTCACATTGAACATTCTTTGAGACGTTGTTTTTTTTCGCATTCCACATGCAATCGAGCGTCAGTTCATTGATGTCTCGATACCGATACTTTTCTAAGTCCGTCATTCAAAGTGCACTTGTCTACATACATTTTATACAATTTGAATTCATACTTATAAAAGAGGCTATTTCATTTAGTCATTGAGTAGTAGTTGAAGCACTCCTTGTATTATTGAGGATTCGTTTCTACCACCATCCTTGTTGCTGTTACTGTTGCCCGCAATTCGTGTCCAGCACTGCTTCTCCTACGTTTCGAATTATCCCCTGCCTATGTTTCACTTAGAAAGTCGTGGAATGGCAATGTTCCGGTTTCGGCTTGTCGTGACCGACCTCTGAGATTTTTTATGGAAAGCCTCATTGATACTTAAAGGTAACGGATGAAGAATTTGAAGTGGATCTTTTCCTTTTATTAGATTTTGAATCCAAATACTGATGATCAACTTTCGCGTGTAAAATCCTTTCTAAAAACCACAGTACATGAGAAAGCGCTTATGTAAGTGTTAGTAGCACGGAGGTGCGGAGTATTTCTTTACACTTTTCTGCGTTTCAGGTGATTCGGGACTCAAGCCGCCTGATCACTTTCCTTGACTTGGCTGGTCATAGCAAGTATCAGCGAACCACCCTTTCCGGCCTCACCACTTTCCAGCCAGCCTTTTGCATCCTTGTTGTGTCCGCCACTACCGGCCTGACTGCTGATGGCCTTCGCCACGCCCGCACCGCCGTCGCTCTTGGTCTGCCTCTAGTTGTGGTTCTCTCCAAAGTGGATCTCGCTTCGGAGGAATTAGTGGCCTTCCCACAGTCTAATGCCTCCGTTACCGCTTCACGTTTCATCACCACCAATACCAACGTCGATGGTGTTGTGGACCCATGTTCTGTCCTCGCCAATATCCAACAAAGTGTGCTGCAGGAACTCAGGACTATTAAGTTTTACATTGATGAAAGTGGTGAGAAAAGTAGGCTCAAGGTGGCTGAGTAAGTTGATAGCATACCTTGTTTAATACTTTACCATACGGATTCAGTCGTTCATTCTGCGTGTTCCGTTCTTATCTACCAAGCTTTCATTTTCTGTAGTTTTGCAACTCTTCTTCGGGACTCGTTAGCATGCTTAGTCTTGTTAGTGAGATTAAAATAGGTGAAAGCGAAGGTTCTCTGTAAAATGGCAATCTCAATCTGATGTCAGTCGATTTCAGAGAGTAATTTCATGGCTCACAATACTAGCGCGTTCCATCTCTATGTTTCTGAGTCCTTCGCGGCTGCGAGTCCCAATTCTTCCTGCGTATTTTAGTTTAGTTTTTTTTTTCGTTATTGACTACCTCCTGATGTTTATCTTCCTTAATCCAATTCCCCAATCAGTGTGAAGCTCCACTGAAC